AAAAAAAAAAAAAAAAAAAAAAAGTCAAAATCAGGCTTTTCAGGTCCTGCTTGTTTCTCTGCTTGGTCTTGGCTGATGGAATGGTGGGATATTGCACCTGGTTTTGTCTCTGAAACAAGTTTTTCTTGCAAGACCTCTTTTCTCTAGTCAGAGACATTTATCAAGCTCTCTGCAGTCACAGCATGTGTTTCCCTACCTGCTCACTTGTCCTTCTGTCTTGTCATTTTTGGTTGGTTTCGGCGGAATTTACAAAGCCATTGAGGTCTCAACAGTGTCTAATGAAAATTTTGTGAAAATAGGTAAGCCTGAGGTAGGTATGTTAATACATCTTAAGGAAAGTTACGTGAGACAGCAGAGAAATGACGGTGATGCTTAGTCTTGTGGAAAAAAATCCACAGGAGTCCAGGCTTTGCTGATCCCGTTGTGCGTGGTGCAACCTCTGATGGCAGTTAACGTTCCCGTTTTGCTTTTATTTTTTCATTATTTGATGCTGGAAACTGATTATTCATGGTGGGTAATAACAGCAATGAGAGGAAACATCTCAGAGTGCCCAGTTTGAAGCTCTGCCACTAGTGAGACACGGGAGTGGTGTACTGGGTCATGGCTGCAAGCCTGGCACACCGTGACACGCCGCCTCTCCACGCATCGCTGCATTAGCTGGACAGCAGCGTGATGTGCATCGGGGTGAAAAACAAGGGGTTGCGTATTGCAGCGTTCTAGTAGCTGTGAGTTTTATTCGCACACATAAACTGCAACTGATTGTAAGATACGACTGTCAAGACAGTCGCTCTTATTGTCTTACCATTATTTCAATTTTCGGTTAACCTTGGGAATAAAGAACTAGAAAAATGCTGACCAATGACAGCAGGTCAACTGGTTCCATTTTGGAAAAAAAAAATAAATCACACCGGTAAAGAAGGAAAAAAAATAATCTTATTTTAAACCTCAAAAATAAAAATATACAAAAAGGTGAAAATGACAAATCAGGTGGATACTCTGAAGTTGCACCCCCAGCCTAGCTAGGTCTCTGCTGCCATGATAAATAGACCTGGATCTTGATCTTTGCTTTAGAAGTTACAGAAAAATTACTTTCTAAACCTACTTTGTATGAAAATGAAACATACCTGGGAAAAGTGTTCTCTGATTTCAGGAATGTAAATAAAAACCTTTCGTTTGAGGGCTCAGAGTAAACTACTGCAGCAGATAATGAAGATTGCAGCCAACAAGCCCCGGTGATCTAAAATAAAATTCCATTTCAGCTGACTGACTTAAGGGCATGACCCTCTATAAATTCCATTAAAAAAAAAAAAAATCCTTTCACTGTTACAGGTAACAATTGTAAAGGACAGATGTAGGGCCCCAGCTTGTAGGGCTTTGTAGCTATTTTATAGCTCAGTAATAATTTGGGGGGAGGGGGAATATGGTCTGCATCCCTTTACTGTGCTTTGTCGTAACATTATGTGCTGTCGCTGCTTTGGTTCTGCTTTTCCAGGCCCATAGGCTGCTGCCGAGGTGTTGTTAGTTAATCTATGCCGTGTTATTTCCCCTTTTCATCACTATATGGATCATAGGTCACATTCCTGGTCAGTCTTGAAGCACAGTAGTTCCTGTACGTTACTGGTTCACTGAGGTTGTCAGGTTGGCTTTGGCCCAACAGAGCAGGGTCATGGGCTTGGAACGGACAAGCCAGTGGGACCTGCAACAGGGAAAAGGTCTTCAGATTCTTCTACCTACTTTCTAAGTTTGTCCTTCATCGTGTCATCATAAATAGATAGCGGTGATGCTGTAGGGTAGGTGTGATTATTACATCTGTACTGATAGTCAGGGGAAATGGGTAAGGAAAAGAGCAACTGCAACAAGTTACCTGCCCAGGGGTTTGAAGGTTTCCATACAGCTGAAGGAAGGAAGTATGCTGAAATCCTTGTTTCCCTTTGGAAATCCAGGGTGGCCTGGATTTGGCCACCGGGACAGCTGCTTGTCCTAAGGGCTTAGGAGCCCGTCCTCTTCTTGGGAGGAGACACGCATGTATCTTTGTTTGGGGGTGGGAACAGAAAGGCTTTACTGTCTTGAAACAGGCAGATGTGATTGATAGTATTGTGAGGTGTTTTATTCCCTTTTGGGGTGAGCACAGCTGTAAGCCACTTTATACATCGCACACAGGTAAGCCATTAACAAAGTGAAGAGCCAGACGAAGGAAAAGGGGTGGGGGAGAATTGTCCCAGCCTCATTTGCCAACGCTGCTCGGCTCAGGCCCCTCTGCCTAACACCATCTCCCTCAAAGGCCTGTAACAGTGACAGATGTGTTTCCAGCACGTCAGACTTCTGTTAACGGAAGTTTTATGTCACCCTCGTGATGAAGCGTTTCTTAAAACAAGGAAAAGCATCTAAGCAGGGTAGACTTAGTGCTGCCAACCTTCTGAGTGGGCCAACAGCTTATCCAAAATACGGTGCTAGCTCACGTTAAAGCCGGGTATATGCAATGGGCATTTCCGCTCCTGGTTGTACCTGCCGCTCTCTGTAGGGTGAGCAGGGGCAGGGAGAAGGAGAGACTGAAATTCCAACAAGAATGTCGGATGAGGAGCAGGCAGGATGGAAACCTGGGGCTTCAGTAGTACCCCCAGCTTGGAGCAATTTCGTCCGTGCTCGTTACCGAAACAGTCTGCGACTTACTTAATCACAAGTAGCTGCGGTTCTCAGAGCGTACAGGTTTTCTTTCAAGTTCGTAAAACAAACAGCAGAACGTCACCACAGCCTTTAATTTCTTCTTGTACATACCATTCACAGTACATTACAGCCCAAATAATATTGCACTGGATTATTTTAAAACCTTTTCATCTGGCAAGTAGTATTCACTTTTCAAAGCCAACAGATGAACAATTTGGTCAACTTGCACCAAGAAAATGGTTAGATAAGAACCCTATACTTTATTTATACCACATGGATTTGTAACCCCAAAGGGAAATGAGAGCGAGCTGTAAACTGTTTCCTTGTTAAAGACAGAAAATAAGTAATTCCTTGCTGATTAAATGTAGAAAGACTGGGGAAAAAAAATGGAATCTGAAAGTTACCTCATTCCTGTTAGACTGCTTGCTGTATATATAATTATATTCTATACTGTGAAAGTCCATCTACATTTAAAAATCCAGCAGTCTACAGATTAACATGGTAAAAAAAAAATAACATATTTTAATGAAAAGATAAGAAATAGTGTTTGCCTCAGAGGAGAAAGTTCAGATTGTGAAGTCAGTTTTTTTTTTTTTTAGGTGCAATCTTTGAGGCAACAAAATATCTTTTGGCATTTGGCACTCTAATAAGGACAATATTTTAATACTGGCACAAGCTAAAAACAGCACAGAATGACAAAATACAAGACATGAAACGAACGCAGCCACTGGGACGATGGTAAGGTAGTCTGAACATATGGAGAACTTAAACAGTTTTGCTGAGGAATTGTGAAACTTTCTGCAAAACCATACTTATTTTTTTTTCTTTTCTTTTACCAAATCGTAAGTTTTACTAAACTTGGAGGGAGAAAAGAGTTTCAAATGTCCTCTAGAAAATCAGCAGCTGCTGGACAATCAACACGGTAGCTTGTTCAGCCGTCAATAGGCGTGAGGCTCTTTATGACTCAGAGCTTGGGTGCGTGAGGCAGAGCTGGTGGCACTTCGGATCACTTCCATCCATCTGTGAGGAGACACAACAGAACGGTCGATTCCTAAGGAAAGACTTCTTGAAAGATACAGCCTGTGTTATCAGCTGGGCAGCTGCATTTTCAGTGCCTACAGGAGCATCTTGCTGGCCACTCTACTCCTAAGTCTACCCAAAGGCAAGAGGCTCGAGATCCAAACGACCGCCAAATGCATATATGGAAGGAGGTTTAGAGAGGATAAATGGCGGGAACGCGACGCAAAATTCAGGAACGTAGTGGGTTTACTTGTTCTGCAGACACCAAATCTCTTTTTTTTTTTTTTTCCTGGACGGTGCAAGTGATGAGCGGTTGAGACCGACCGCTCTTAATTCGAGAGTGAAAAAAGGTAATTTAGCTGCAGTTCCTACTTATTTTTCCTAGAACTGAGAAAGGGCTTTTGTCTGTTTTCCTATTCTACTCATTATTTCATCACCTCTTTCCCACAATTCACTTTCTTTATAGTTTTAAGACTCATACGGCTAAAACTTAATAATAGCTTTCTTCAATAAGAGAGGACATCAAGATTTTTGATGTGCTAATGCTTCATATAAAAGAGCTGAATTAGTTCCCAGTATGAACAACCTCAGACGACAATTTAGGAGGAGCAGTGCCTGTTTCCTGGCTCCCCGTGTATCTGAAATTCAGTGGGAGGTGTAAAAATTCCATGCTGAAGTAGCATAAATACACAGCAGGAACAACCGCTTCTGTGAAAAACGAGAATTTATTTCAGGTGTGGGTTTTCCATCCAGTGGTACCAGAGGGAGTGAAGTTATTCTGAAGAGCTACTGAAAAGTCCTGTGATCTGTTTACGTGCTTCCTGAAGGCTGAGACATAAAGCTCCCCGTCCAGTCAGCCCGATCAATTTTGACTGGGTAATTCCAGGTTTTGTAGTGATTGCTATTACAGCAACCACATTATCAAAACCAACCCCTTGATTCTACCATTATCAGGGTTAAAACGTCTTTTAAAATTTCAAAGGGTTCTTGCTCTACTTGTGCTGAACTACTTGCCTGTATTACTGAACCAATTTACTAAACTTTGCCTCTATTAACCTTGTTCAGAAAACACTCCTGGAATTTACAAAATTCCCTCTCACAGAAGATCGACTTACCTTTCAAACGTGTATTCACTTTCAGCCCTGAAGTAGTACACGTGGGATTTGAAATGTAGCTTGAACACATAATCTTTGTGAATGTTTTCAGATTCAGAAGGAATGGTAAGTGAATATCCCAGTAAAGGAAGGCTGGCTAAAGGATGATTGTCCTGAGAAGAAAAGATGGAGAATGCTGTGAGACCAAATGCCCTTCAGTAAAGAGAGCCCAAGTAAAACAGAAACTAGATACACACTCATTGAAAGGTCATCATCGTGTTTCCACGTGTGGGTGGAAAAAACCAGCAGCTTTACACAACTGCAATGAAGTTAACTGTCTGGGAGTTTCAGCGTGCCCATCTTTGTAGACCCTTCTCATAAGGATCTGCTGCAGCATTTCCTCATAAGAACATTGTTGGAAATCTTGGGCTTTCACTGCCTCCAAACTGATGAACATAAAGCTCCATCGTTTGGCATCGGCAGAGCGCCATCCGTGTCCATCCTAAGCTTGCAAACACCTACTCCTTTAGAAATGTAACGGCCACCCTGCAGTACTCATTGCTTACGTCTTTTTACTTAGTCTGCTGTGTAGGAACAAATCATTTTGTGCAGAATAGCCTATAATTCATTCTTTTATTATTTTTTTTTTTTAAGTGCAGAAACTCTGTCGTTAAGGATTTCTCTAGCAGTGAAAGCACAACATAGCAACTGGAATTATTTTGTTCTTATGCCCTGCTTGAACACAGAGATTCAAAAGTCCAACAGATTCTAGACAGGAAAGCCCCTACTTCTGCAGTGAGATGTTTGCTCGGGTGGGTTAATCACTGGCCGCTGTTCTCTCTTGTTTGACTTAAGCATCAGTAACGGTAAACAAAGCGTGTACGTCACTGTTAAGTTTTTAATTGTAATAATCTCAGAAATTGTACAAGAGAAAACTCTTGCTTAAACTCGCACCACAATTTCTGAGCCGTAGCGACATCTCTTGTACTTTCAGGGACGACATATACTGTGACCGTGGAAAGTTTCAGGAAACAAGCACGCGCCCTTCGCTTGACAGGCGAGCAGACTGACAACAGGCTCTGCTCCGTGCTCCAGCAGCAGCAAAGGCTGTGCAGCCGTGACCACTGCACCTGCTTCTCTCGCCTCCAGCACGGCACCCGTGACCGATGTCTGCCCTTCTCTCTGCTACTGCTTTGGAAAACCACAAGGTCTTCTCCAGCCACGCGCGCTTGTGCAGTCTGTTACCTGGTGCGATTTATAGAAGAACATGCAGAAGTTGGTGAACACCACCCAAAGCTTCTGCCACCCGTTGCTGTTTTTGAATTTTCTTAGGAGATTTCCAGACAGCTGGTTCTGAAACAGATCAAAAGTAGCCAAATAAAGCAGTGGAAGGTACCCGCAGTTTAATTATTGTAAGAAAAAAGTTATCTGCTTTTATCTGGTTGCGTGTGACCTTGTTGTGTGTGAAAATGTTTTGGCTGAATGGACCTATTTTTCTTTTGCATTTTTCTACTACGAAGTAGTACTTAATGTAATATATTTTTTTATTTGTGGCTGGGTACTTCCAAAACCTTCAAGCTAATACGCTTTTTTTTTTTCCCCTAATTGAGGTGGCTTTCAGTAATACATTACTAAACATCAGTCTTGTTATCCTAGTCTGTCTTTGTTCTTTTCAAATGATACTTAAATAGAATAATGGAAACAAAGTCTGACGTGAATTTGTGATGTAAAGAAAAGTTATGACATACTTTAGAATTGCAGACAGAGATTGAGCTCTCAGTACCCAGTGAGTTCACACGGTAACTTTTCAAAGATTTCAAAAGCAAGGACCGTTAACCTTATTCTTAGCCAGATTTTGGATGTTTTAACAAAAAGGAGGAAGCTGTAACCAAGTACAAGTATTTAATGGCTGACAGAAGAAACTACTCTTCACATAGTGATGATGTAAAGTCCAGCATCATTGTGCCTTGCCAATGAAGGGGCGTTCTTAGTGAATTATTAATTACTTCCCATTCCTTGCCAGGGCTCTGACCTAGATCAAAATGGCCGTTTACATCATTCTCATTATACAATGCAGAAGCTAATCACTTACTTAATCCGTAAAGCTTAATAGTCAAAGTCTGGTGGTCCTGATGTATCTACTACAAATGAAATATTCTTGAAAATAGTCTGTTTTCACCATATACTTGGATATACATTAAAGCCTTTGCTTTAAATCATCCCATTCTCTGGTATCTGGACTGCTGCCTCCTTGCCCTAAGTTACAGGTGTACTCCTTAATTTTCTGTTACCTCATTACTCTGGAGGATATCATAAAAGGACAGGCTTTGCATTCGGTACCAGCAGACATATGAAATGGAAACAGGCCGCTGATCACTGATCAGTCCAGCAGGTAGGGAAGTACAGTCACTGACAGAGAGAGGATCTTCTACCATGAGAGAGACAGAAAGGAGGGAAAGACACAAAGAAAATAAACGATAATGCTGAAGTGAGAGCCACCAACAGAATGATGTGAGCATGAGCGTAACCTGCCACGCATGGAACAGCAGTGGAGCTGAAGATGTTTTCACAGAGCATTCACGATATGTCTCCAGGGTGTGTTTGGTCTTCGCTGCTTTATTCGCATTGATTTGAGGCAGGGGGAGGAACAAAAAACAAGGAACAATGAGCACTGATCTCAGACCAAAAGATTTGGCTAACTAAGTGTTTTAACCCTTAGTCACTGGTTTAAATTTTATATCTACTTATAATAAGCTCTCTGCTTTAGGAAAAAATACGAGACCTTGTTCCATGCTGAACTATTCCTCCCTTGCAGGATATGAGGGTATAAAGAGCAGAAAATCGACCTGCATGGAATCGAAATGAGGCTTTACAGTTGGTGCTTTCTAGTACAGAATAATTTTCTTTGTCACATTTCAGCAACAAACTCACCATCTGTTTAAAACCAGAGGCAGTTACACAAACTATGAATACAGCCTGTCCTTGCTCCTCTGTGTTCTGCATCGGTACATCTTCTCTAGAACGAGGGTGGCCTGATGTCCGAGGGCTGCTTTGTGAATGCAAGTCGACTCGGCTTTAAGGTTCCTTTCACCATTTTCACTGAGCATAAATTTCCATTTGATGAAGACTGCGATCAAGTACTCAGAGCTCCCTGGAGACTCTCTCGGGTGAAAGAAGAACACCTAAGCAGGCTCACCACCTCATCCTAAAACCTATGCTGAACGAGGAGTCTCTTTCCTTTTAATCTTTGAAAAGTCAATGTCTGCGCCTCATCTGTCGAGTACAGAATTAAGGAATGTGTATCAAACTGGCTTAGCTGTGATCGGGGCAGGGGGAGGGGGAAAGGATTTTTACACTGAGGTGGAAAACGCAAATAAAGAAAAAGCAGATGAGACTGAGCAATGAGACAAGGTTCCAGAAAAGATGGCTAGGTAAAGAAAGGACGTTAGTAATACACGTAATTAAAACTCTGGCTGCAGCAGCTAAAGACAATATCCTTTCAGCTCAAGCAATGACTTAATGCCTCTGTAACTGAAAGCATTAAGACAGGTTGACCTGCTTGAAATTTTCAAGGGCATCAGCATTTTTTTTGGACAGTTACTTCTACAAAAATTACTGCTCTAACTGATTTTACAGAGATGCACTAAGGGAGCGGATACGTGTTTCTTGACTGATGGTTTATGCCATCATTTGAGGATACGAGAGTCAGCTTAATAGGTGTGCCTGAAACTTCCCCAGAAGGAGACAACAGAATAGTGCACTTATTAAGGAGGAGCAAAAAGGAAATTGTCATTCAAGAGTGAGTCTGGAGCTGCAGTTCAGATCGTTCTGCGGCAGATACCTCCACAGCAATACTAAAGTCGATCATTGAAACACTGGTATTTCTGTGCCAGCAGACGTGCACCGTAGTGTTGCCACGGTGTGGTGACTGACGTTCGAGTGAGGTGCGGGATGCACTGAGGTCGTCCTCAGATTCCTGGTCTACAGTAGTTTCATCAGGAGACTCTATGAAATGCAGGGAAAAAGCATCTTTCTTCCTCTATGCAACAACATATATAATTGGAAAAATTAAACAAATCAATTCTGTCCACAATATTGTGAACTCGTTTTAAAACACACTTTTAGAAATAATTTTGTGCAGATACGAAGTAGGTTTTTTTTTTTTTTTCACGTGTTTCTGCAAGTCTTAGAATCAAAGACTAACTACCGTGCTTTGTTGGTGCTTTTAACGCCTTCCAAGGACAGGCACTGCCCCAATCCAGTTAAATAGTTCCTGCAATCGTTACGCTTAAGTCATTTCTCTATTCAGTGAAACTTTCTGCTAACATCAACAAGAACATTAAAATAGCACATATATAAATATATGTATATTCATCAGCTATCAGTTTGACCTGCGGCCAGCAGTTGTCACCACTTTGCTCAGAAGCAATCACCAATGGTACTGACCAAAGTGAGTAAAACCTACTCGAGCATTTACTTACTATTGTCAGGTGGGCTGCTAGCCAGTAACTCTGGAGCAGGGCCGCTGCTTTTCTCTGCCAGGTCTATTGCCATCTGAATGTCCTCAGTCCATTTGTCCATTTCGGTGCGGGTACTAAAAATGAAAATTCATGTTTTATTCACTTTCATACAGGCTGAAAGTAAACTCTTAAGAAATCATCACAACCTGAGCTTACTTTTCATTGAAATAAATAAATGCACACAGAAGATGCCACGTTTTTTTCCCTAATAACCTAGTTTTGGTTCCGACTTGCACAACTGCCACTCTATTTTGTGTGTCCCCTGTCGTGTCCCCCTCCGCCTTTTTTATTTTTACAAGTGGCTTTCACAGAAGAATATACCTTTGAAATTGTTTTAGGAGCAAATCCAAACAAAATGACGCCTCTCTGTTTTTCTATCTGTCCCACTGTGAAAGCTGCAGAGAAACAGAGTTTACACGTGTATGTTGGCTCCACTGAATTACCTTGCAGCAACAACGATGGACTGGTGTTGACCTCGTAGTGTTAGACAATGAGGAACCCCCCACTCCTCTTCACTTTCTTCTATCTGAGAGATAAAAGCCCAAACGCAGTCAAATTGCAGGAATTTCATATTCCTTAAGGTGAAACAGTGAACTGAACGAGCTCTTACCATTGGAGCAAAGAAAACTACAAGAAAAGTCCACAAATAACAATTTCGAGCTAGGTACTGAGAAAGAAATGGTGGCTTGCAAGGTGCACAACCAGTGAGTAAGTTCTGCGATAACCTTTTAAACCAAAAGCACGGCTTTGTCCGCTTTGCTTCAAAAAAACCCGAAAGGACAATAGTGGTATTTTTATCAGAAGAGTGATTCATCATACAAAAGGATACGTTAAAGGCTGGGAGCGCTCTGGACACCGCAGCATAACACAGTTCTATTGTGAACAAAGGGACATCAATAATTGAGTGGATTCCTAGAAACACTAGATAAAACTTGAAGCCTTGCAGGTGTTCAGAGAAATTCAGTTACTGTGGTAGTGATTACCTAGCTGAATTCTCAGGAAACCGGTACGGAATAGATAAAAACCCAGAAGAAGTTCCAATGAAAATAATGTGGGGAATGAAAGCATTTTGAAACTAGCAAAAATATGTTTGACATCATACAAGAAGAGGTAACTAGGTGCTATTGGCTCAAATTGGCTGTTTTCCAGACGAGTTGCACCAAGTGCTCCAAATGACATATCGCTGTCAGTTTCCCAGTACTTTGGCTTTAAGATACAGAGCTGAAAGCATTCGGAGATGGGTTTTTCTATAGAAACGAGATTGTCACTAATGTTTACTCGCCTTGCACAGTGTGTCTATAAGCAATTGGTGATCAACTACTTGTAAGAATCACGGATAAAGTTACGGTTTAAAAAAACAAAGAACCCATCTCACAAGGAGTTTGCATCATGAGGAAGCCACCCCCAACAATGCCTTTTTCCCCCCGACTTTTGCTATATAATCACCTTTGTGTACAAGGCTGCATGAACACATGCCGAACCCAACACAGCCCCAGCAGGCGCTGCAGAAGGTAACCACAGCTCCTCTGAATCGGAGAGCGGCCCTTTGCTGCTGCTTTCAGTCCAGCAGAAATTCATCAAGCCATTAAGATGGGACCACAGATGGCCATTTAAGCATGAATCCTTTAAGTTCTCACAATACTTACTGTCATGGCATACAGTGGAAGGTGTCCGTGGACTTTAAACTGATTTGATGCTGTCAGGCCTCTACTTGTGTACAACAAGATATCGTTAAACTAAAAAGCAAGAATAAGCATTATTAGAATGATGTTGGCATGTATGTATGTAGAAAAAAAAATCAGAATGGTAAATACAGGAAAGCTAGCCAGTACTGGCTGACTATATGGCAGTCCCAATGCATGAATCCGAAATATCAGCTTCCGCAATACTCCAGTACCTAGTATTAGCACCTGCTATTTTCCCTGCCTTCCCTCCCAGCTAGTCTCAGGCATGTTGCCACAATTTTCCACTGGATATCTTCTGATGCCTTCTAATATTCCCTTTGTGATTTCTGGGTCAGAACTAACAAGCCACAACAGCAGTGAAACCAAGTACTACATTTCACACTCTGCTGCTCTTTGAATCTACAGGAGATCAGTGTGTTACACCAGTATTTTCTTCTGATTTGTCTGAAAAGATAAGCAAGCAAGCCCAAGCGAGGTGTGTCCAACTGAACTCTTACAAAGTAACTGGCTATCTATTACTCCTCATATTCACAAGGAAGCTGAGGGACCTGTTTTAAGGCAGATGGCTTTAGGTTAGAAGTATCAAGGTTAAGAGACTGAGTATCTCCATTTATAGAGCTTTCTCCACGTAACAGCAGTTGTTGAAAGCAAGCCAAATGACCACCTGCGATCTGTTGCCATGAAATGAATAGCATGTTTTCAGTGTGCCACCTGGGTGGGTCAAAGGATATTTTTCTCAAACCAGACAGTTGAATCGAGAAAATGATACTCTGTGGTGTGAAACAGAGCTCTCGCCACGGAGGTCCACAATCCAATAATTCACAAAACTACGTGGATCAGCCACTAGAGGGGGACTGAATTTTGCCAATGATTACACATGTATTAGGAGTCCCAGAATACTGACGCCAGATTTTACCTCCAAAAAGATTCTGGTGCTTGAGACAGACCAAAGACTTCTTTGACAGTGCGAGCAACTGACTTGAGAGTCTAGTCTTAACTTCTTAATTTTTCATACAGGTACGATATCAAGGCATCATCTGGTAACAAGAATTGTGGTGTGCAAGAAAATACACACCATATTTATTAGGCTTCCTCTTTAGTGCCTTTAAAGGCAGAGGATAATCCCACCCAGGCAGATTTCGTGGTTACATCTTTGGCTCATTTGAAAGATTAAATGTGAAACGTTTTGTAAAACCTAGCACACTCACAAGCTTTTCTACACACCCACAGGCTTCACCTTTTGCATACAAGAAGCCAAGGAAGTATTTTCCTGCCACACTGCAATGGTTCTTTAATGTTTTGCCCTGTTAACAGTGGCCCAGAAAATCTATGCACTCTGCTGGGCATCCCAGTGCCTTGGCACCACGGGCTCAGCAGCAGCAGGGTGGGAGCAAGTCAGCTGGCTGGGAAGAAGAGAGAGGAGGAACCATCTGGTTGGCTCTTGTGGATCAGAGACCGAGTGGGATCACTGTGTAACCTGAAAATGCTGCGAGTGATGGTGGGAGGAGATAACCTTTCCTAGTGCAAGAGCTACAAAATGCATCTCCAGGCAAAGGCAGGTCCATCAACATGCTGGGCACTCGTGGGCTGGAACTGGATGGTTTGTGGAGAAACCTGGTTCTGTGATGCATCCTCAGAGCATTGTGTGGATTATCGTTCATATAACCAGGAGTTACTCTTTATCTTATTTTCTGGACATGACCACTAACCTTGGTGCCACTTTTAATTTTATGATGACTCTGCTCTTATTTAAGACAATGCGCTAGGAAGTATTAATTTATCATTATTTTCACAGTGTCATATAAAAAGAAATAGTTTTATCTTTGTAAGAAGCAGTTACAAAGAGAATACTGGGTTTGTACAGCAACATAAGTTCGTAACAACCAGCTACATAGGTGGTGTATTATGTTAACTTAAATAAGTCTGTTTAAAAATACTTACTGTCATTCACAATTTGAGTCTAACAGTACGTCTAATAGTTGCCTATATTTACATTTCATTATATAAAGAAAAATTGTCTTCTTGCTTACCAGAAAGAACATCCGTTGCTGTAAACCTTTTCCAGACAACTTACTAAGACTGCCCAGTCTAATGAACTCCTGTGGGAAACAAATACAAACCAAATATGTATCTTCTGCAAAAATTATGACCATTTTTTTATTATGCAACATAAATATGACTACTTGGTCATAGGACTGACTTGACTATCAGTCACCAAGACTTTCTATTTTCTTTATTAAATACGTTAAAAATATTATTTATAGGACAATGTCTTTCCAATCCAAATCCTAATTGTCTTTCATTCATTTTAAGAAAGTTCAGCTAAGCAAAAGTTTCTTTACCTCACATTGACTCCTTCAGATGGCTTCCTCTTCCATCAGTTTTGAATGAGTATTTTTCATGGTACAAATAATGTAAAAACTAATGATAAGTTGGCCTGTATGTTATTGGCTAGACACTAGTAAGCTTCTGTTGTGCATATGGCATACACAGCTCTTCCCTGAGATGTAAAATCAGCTACACAAATCAACATCACCATCAGCAGCAGAAAAAAAAAAAAGGAAATTCATCTGGCAGCGTGAGTTATCCTCGTACCATCCATGTCATGTGATACAGTACATTAATTCAGATCAAACTGTTTAAGAATAAACTGTTTAGACATGGAACTATAGGAAAAGTAGCACATCTGAACTTTCAAAATGCTGGATTTCCTGGGCTTACTGTGAATTATACCGTAACTCACCCTTGCATTTATCTGAAAATATAATTTTTCCAGTCACTCCCTCCAGCTTCTGTCAAGAGGTTTACCGTTATTTATTACAGTCTTTCTAAGGTCATTCTGCTCATAATTGTTCATGTAAAAGGAATATAAAGCATCAGAATCACTGGTTGTCCAAGATTAATCTGTTCAGAAAGACACTCCAGTCACCTTAGGGTTGCTGAGGCGTACGGTCCCCCTAACCTGCACTGCGTTAAGGGCTAAGGGGTAGAAAAAGTGGCTGAAGGTGGTTATCCCTGTATCATGGGAGGCTCATGTTACCAGAGAGGCCACTGGAAGCTGTTGTTGGCCACCAAAGAATATTAATCATAATTACTATTTATACGGTACCACCTAATAGTCATTAGCAGGTTTAGCACCACCACGGCAAGCGCTGTGCGAACACAGCAATCGAGAGCTGCAGGTCGTTGCAATCTGCAAGGACAACCGACCACGGCGTGTTTTAAAGCCCAAGGTAGGAACCAGCTTGGTGGCAGCAGAGATCCCAGTCTGGGACAACATGAAGAGGGTGGTTACCTACAGCCTCCTTTAAGACAGCTGAAATCACTGGCCTCACATGAGACTTCTCCTCTGGGACAAGGAGTTCAGCCACGGGTGACAGTGGCATTTGCCTCCCAGCCTGGCCTGCACTGGGGCAGGGACTTCAGTCAGAGCCAGAGGAGCAGCCAAAGAGCTGGAAGCACCAACACCTTGGGCACATGCCAGAGCATAGTGGCCAATGCTTTTTGCCTTGGCAGGCAAACAACCTCTGCCCCCCGTCTGCCGCCTTCTTGAACTTCCTAGGACAGGAAGACTGCTCGGTCTTTAAATAGAAAAGGGTAGCAGAAACACCCGATGACAGCATCTGATTTCATGTGATAAGAGAGATGCATGGGCTGTGAAATGTCCTGAGGGGTTTGCCAAGGAAGTGACTGGTCTGTGGATCACTGGAAGGAGGCATGAACCATGGCAGCTGCTTGGGAGAGGGGGAAGAGGCAAAAGCGAGGGAGCGGAGAACAGCCACAAATCCAGAAATACCTGTGCTCGGCACTGCCTTCCCAACGGCACATCAGCTTCAAACCCCTTTTTCTAAATGTTTGAATCCTTAACTGAACTAGACCTCAGCAAGCAGCCTCTCTGCCACGACCCTGCTGTGGCACTAGACATGAACAGTACGTCACGGCAAGCAGAGCCCAGGCCGTGGTTCTCTCCGAGCGCTGGTCCGGCCATCCAGCAGGAGCGCGTCAGGGCTGGACAGCCAGACTGCAGGGCAAATTCACGTGCTGCTGTATCTGCAGTTCAATGCAAAACTCATCTTTTTTTCCAAGCTGTTTTCCACAAATGCAGAAGGGGCGAGAACAGGCTAGGGATGTATTTTCCCTGGCATTTCAGTTGCCACAAGTACTGTTTTTGTGGATTAAACACAAAAGTCAGGGGGATTGGGGAGGAAATTACTTCAACAACAGACAACTCTCAAGTTTGCAGGCACAGATATGTGCACCTAGAAAAGTAAAAAAGGCTACAAATACTACACTGAGGCTTGTTTATTCTGAAATAAGCCTCTGTTCTTAAAAAAGCACAAGAAAGGTGTTGGTATTTTTATAACACAATTAGAAGTATTTACTTAAGGCAACACTGTCTCAAAAAATATTGCCTAACGTTAACATGTAGACTAAATAGACTGCTTGTTCCCAGGGCCATGAGTTTCAAAGCTAGGCATCATGAAAGGACTGAAGGTCCTCCAGCACAATTGTCTTACTTTCCTTCAAACTGCCATGCTCTAGCATCGAGGGTTGCAAAAAAAAATTAAAAATTAAGGGCAGCAAGAACTGAGGAAGTGTGCAACTGCTCAAGCTCTGAACGCTGTGATAAATATGAGATTTTTACCACCTCTGTTGTATTAGATGTTTGGAATTGCCTACAACTGTCCAAATCTATACAAAAGATAAACCTAATAAAATCAGTAAAAAGCTAATAAAGATGATTACCTCTTCCTGCTTTAAAGGCTGAGGTTTTCTATGGTATTATTACGTTTACCTTTGATAGTTTTTGGTGAGAGAAAAAGGTTTGTATGAGCAAAGGCAATTTCACAGATGTTCCTAATAAACAGGTTTCTAAAACATACCTAATGCTTTGAAATAGTATCAGACCTTGATCACAACTCTGCTACTTACCCTTCCTGGGATCACCAGATTGTCTATGCCTATCAAGTCTTTCTTGAGTTCATGCAGCTTCTGGAAGTTCTCCATCTTTATCATATTGCCGTGGAGCTGAGCCACCATCTCAGAAATCTCAGCCAAAGCAGCTAGATGGACAAAACCATAAAATGCTTATTAAAAAATTTATAAGAACGTTCAAAAAGAAAGATAGCTTTTGTCTGCAGCAGCCAGCTCAGAACCATCACCCTTCTTGTGTTACCCTTCTCCTTCACAGTGTAAAGCTACTCAGGCAGACTAAAAACTCCACAACTTCTGGACACCATCTTACGGAGTGGAGGAGAGGGTGGAGCATTGGAATGAAGAGAAGCCTATTTCCTCAACCAAAAGTTTGCTCTATTTTAGCCACAAGAACTTTGTAGGAATAGTCAAGTCAATTCAGAGCGCCAATGAATGGGTTCTCCTAAAGGACTCAATTTCCTACACCTCCAATTAATCTAGGGATCTTCTCTATGCTTGAAAAAAAATGCATTTTCCCCCCTGCTTGCAGCACACACAGCAAATATGGTCAGGTCCATATTTGAAAACACCAGGAAATGGCAAGAGTCATCATTTCAGATGGTAAACACAGTAACCTTGGGGTTTGTCCTCAGTCCCAGCAATGAGAACAACTAAAAGGGCTTCACGTCGCTGACTCATATCACAGCTCTACTTCGTTCTCTCCAAAGACACTACGAACAATGAGTGACCTAAAACCTGGGAGTGATTTTTCCTAAGGAGCATCTCCATTGTCGAAGGGGATATCTGCCGTGTGAAGGATCAGGTGGGATACAGGAGGAAGCAGGCACCAGGAAGTCCCACTCTGTGGTAGCAGAAGCCAAACCAAGTGCAGGCTGCCGCCCATCTGCTTCCAGGGTCTTGTATTTTTGCTGTGCCAACAATGCAGTAAGTCAACCCAGAGAACTAAGCTGAAAATCACTTCACCACTTGATCTCTTCTGGGGGACCAGCTCATGGACTGGCTCCCTGTGCCATCGTGTATGTGAGCACCAACCTTGATACATTCAGGCAGTCTCTGAATGGGCGAAACACAATGACTGATTTTCGTGCTAGATGAGAACATACAGCCATTTGTGTTAGAAAAATAAAGTCAAGGGAACAGTAACAGTGGTTCTTTCTCCCTTCTTACAACATCGGTCAGTGCATAGTTCATCCACCTGTTAGTGGGAGACCTGTGCTCTCTGCTGAGATTCACATCCCCCTCTCCCATTTTTTTTTTTTGCTTCCTTTACACTCTGACTTTTCACAAAGATCTGCAAACGCCTTAGTAAGAGACTGATCCCGGAGTAAAGGTGTCTCTGAGTCACACTGCCCTTGTCATGCTCTCTTATTTTCACCCCTGAATCCTGTGTTGGTATCCATTTCAAAAGTGGAGGAGGAATCAAACCTTGATGGCTGCTGCTCTCTCTGGGGAGGTGGGAATGGACACACATCGCCCTCATCATCTAGCCTTGGCTACAAGAAATGAAGGCACTGCTCACTGCGTTCCTTGAGATCATTCAGGCAGTAGCTACTTTTAGGCAAACATCTGTGTCACACACCGCTTCAGTGCCACAAAACTCTGTGGCATTTCCTACCGCCACAGGTCAAGTTACCTCCGCATTTTGTGCATTGCCTGCTGTGGGTCTAATCACACGGCACCTAAGGGAGCTCAGCCAACCCCTTACAGCTGGGAGCAGTCGTGCTGGCCACTGCCCCCTGCCCAAGTCCTTCTGTGCTGCTATCTTTAAATGTAGACAGCTTACAAGGGGGGTGGGGGACAGGGGTAAGAGAGGAGGAAAACAAATCATCAGAAAGAAATAGCAGGCAGTGAGTTCAGACTACAGGAGGGAAATTTCTTTACATTTGGAACACCCCCCGCCCCCCCATGTAGGCAGCTTTGAGTTCCTGAAACAAATCATGGAAACAGTAACAGAGCAAATTGTAGGTCTGGAAAAAAAAAGACAAATAACATTTAAAGCCGTAATAACAGCAGTCATACTGGGTCAGACCAAGAGTTCACCTGAGCCAATATTCTGTGTTTCTAGCGGACGTCTAGGGAAAGCTCGGAACAAGACAAGCACATATGGGATGTTCCCTGTGCTCTCTCCCAACCTTCCAACTGTTTCCAGGTCAAGCAATTTCCTGAGCTGCATGCCATTTCTGTGTGTTTAATAACCCCCGGCAGATTTCTCTTCCAAGTACTTGTCCAGACTGTGGCACAATGTGTATACAACAGCAACCTTAATCCTATCATTTCTGGTCTTCTGCGTGCTGGATTTTGCAACTCAATCCTCTTTCAATGTAGGCTTATAAAAAAGGTATTTTTTTTTTTTTCCAGCCATGCACCTCTAATGGATTTGGATGCCATTCCCCAGCTCCAGCAATTAGTGTCTTTTCTCTTACCTCTTGAATCCCTGAAGTCTATGTGGCTTGGTGGGTAGTGTTTGCAAAGCCTCTCCATTATCTGCTTGTAGTGCATAAGCCTGTGTAAAGGTCTGAGAAGGAAGGTATTGAGAGGCAAGTAGCAGACCTTCTGTAGCTCAAAATCCCTGCAAAAGGTTTCCAGCTTGCGAGAGTTCTTGATTCCGTTCTCCAGTTCAATTAAAATCTCATTGTGCTTCCACAGGTGAACTGTCAGTTGCTTATAGGCACAAAGAAAGAAAAAGCATGTGGCAGAGCTGTTAGCAATCACTGTGAGACGTAATTCAGCCCAAACCTATTCCAGTGAAAAAAATACAACTAGCACAGCAGTTTGGAATTTGCAAACAAAATCACTGTACAGCACAATGGCTCTGATATTCACTTGAAAAAGAGAAATGGCATTACTCGATGGAAGTACACCCCCCCACCCCCTCTGCATTCCCTGTAAAACAAAAGTACATGAGTTAACAAAACTAAGTCTGATACCAGTGAGAAATCCAAAGGCACAAAGATGACACAAACATAGCTCATGCAAGTAGGTGCAACAAGGAGAGAGCTAGACTATGTGAATGCAGAGCTAGGAAATAAAATGGGATTTTCTAGGAGAATGAAGGGATTTAGTTGCCCCAGTTCCCTTAGGCGCTTTTGGGGAAGTGAAATACAGACAGATGGACTTGTAGCTTCTGCCCCCTTGTTATTAATGAGAACTTGCATCTCCTGGGAATCTGAAACACAAAAACTCCTCTGAGTTGTCCTACATCCTTGTTCTTCATCCTTGGATTACGTCCTCTTCTCCTTAGGGCACTCTCTAAGATGATCCCACTGGCAGCAGGGGAGTTAGGCACCAGCAAGTGAATGAGGTTTGCATGAAATACGTAACTTTATTTAGGTCTCGGTATCTCAGGCATTCACGACTCTCGTTTAAAACAATTCATCAGTAAATTAACACATTTGTGTTTTGCAAAAGGTAAACTGGTTCTTCACGATGTACAGAGCTTCTCTAAGGAGCCAAATAAAGTCTCCCAGTACACGGTAGAAAATTAACCAGCAACAAAATGAAACTGGTAGAATATTAACCAGCAACAAAAAAAAACCCGAATGCATCTGCTGAATGGTTTCAGAGGACAGTTTGGCTTAATGTAAAGCTCATGCTTTTCGACACATTTCCAATCAACTCCCTCTCTCCTGTGATTTGTGACGCCCTTACCAGAAATACCTTCCCTACAGCCAAGCTGCTTCCTCCACACACTGCATATTCACTTTACAAGCCTGTAACCAAAGCAAAGACACAGCAGACTCCCTGGAATACTACAGAGGCTGCCCATTAATTACTTGCTCTTAACCTCTTTCCTATGTTAATTAAACAAGGAGTGTCAGCTTTCAGGTCTTTTAACAGGTCTCATGATAAATGTGCAAAGTTTTAACTAACTATATCGTTTCCAGCATGGTTCTTTAAGTCAAACTGGGCCTTGCGTCTTTCCTCCAAGTATCTGTGCTTATCAGTGGTGGTGGTTCCCAAAGAAAAGAGGACAAAAACTAACGGGAAAGGGAGAAAGGCGAAGGTGAAAGCATGCCGACATGTCTAAGTTATGGTAAGGACTGTATGCTGCCATTAAACTAGTGCCACAAAAGGACCTGCAGACAGCGAAGGGACAGACAATTCCATGTTGCAAGGTACTGAGAGAAGAAGCGGAGGCTGTCAGAAGCAAAGATTCTAAAAACTATTTGTGAAAAGGTGCGCGCTTCTGGAGAGCAGGGACGGAGGTAGAAAAGTTCCCCCTGGATTTCTTCTGATGCTTCACAATTGTGTCTTGAGGGGAAAAAACAGTTCCTGCTAAGTACATGGCAGGAAGGGTACTGCTGCCTTATTGGTGACAAAGCTGTCTGTGTTGGGGACTGTAAAGCAAGATTTCTATGTTCTCTTTTTCTGATTTGCTGTATAATCACTTGCATGCCACTCTCTCCATCCCTCTCTGTCCTTCTGAAAGATAAGCCTAGTACTAACTAAGGTCTCAGGAGAGTTGTAAAGATTAAACTGCCCTTTCCTCCAGCCAAGGACTCAAGGGCTGCTCCATTTACTAACTGCAGAATGCTGAAGTGGAAATCGCCACGGAAAGATTTATCAGGTAGTTTCAAAAGCACCTTGTGATCCACGCGCCGAAGCTGCAGTGCCATGTTTTGCCACACACTGACCTGGATGCCTAGCTACATTAATAACGTGAGCTGTGTGTTACCCATCCATACTGTAAATGTCCGTAGGGTTTTCACAGGCTCCCGTGCTTGCTTTCCACGCTCTTTGTTCAGCAACACAGTAACATAAAGCATCAAAAATACTACTCTGGCCAGACTAAGAACAGATGCAAAGTCTGCTGAACATTACACCTAAATTTACAGTTCATACATGTATTTTTGCTTTTAGCTTTAAAGGGATCAAAGGCAATTATTCGCATTTATTAAAAAACTTTCAATTAACTTGGCACCATAGTGCACAAATGTAAGTTTCCCAAATCAAATCAATATCCAGGTTACGGTCACTACTCATGCAATATCTTAACACTTACATATGCATGCACAAGTAGGCACACTTGGTGTTTGAACAGTCTCTTCAGCCATACGAATTCTGATGTTTTGCCTTCTTATTTGAAAGAAAAAAGAACTGGAAATGAACTGTACCTGAACTTTTCTTTTTGTTGTTCCTATATTTGGAGAGGGGACTGAGGAAAGGGGCTGGACAATTTAAAACCAGCTTGCAATTCTGAAATCTCAGGACTCACCAAACGCTTGCTACTTCATCAAAGGAAACTTTTATAGCATAAGCCTTGATTACAACTGGCAAAAGCCAGCACAAGAGGCAACATCACATGGAAACGAAAAGCACAATAATTCTAATCCGTGTCAAAGCTTAATAGTTATAGGATCATTCTTACCTTCATACTCTGAATGTTCTTTAGCATAACATCTCCGATTCTTTGGTAATCTCCTTTAATGTGAGCATTAGAGCGGCCTTCCCTGTCAGCAGCAGAAATATCACACACTTCAGTCACGGAATAAAACCACATAATCACTTACAAGCACAGAAAGGAACTCAACAGCTCATTTCTTTTGAATTCCTGACCCCATGCTCTTTTGGCCCAGGAGTGTGCAAGGAATCTTCCTGACAGACATGTAATTCCCAGGTACGGTACACCCTTCACCCAGCCTGGCTTGCACTTTTATCAACAGAGAGGGCAGGCACTTAACAGAAGGATCAGACCTTTAAAGAAAATTGCAAGCATTTTTAAACACACCAGAGAAGGCTGGAATTGTCTGGAGAAAAAGGAAGACATCAAAATCCCATCACAATATGTGGGCTTAGAGCAGAAGGATAATTCTGTTCAGAAGCAAGGATTGCACTCTGGCATAGGACCCACAGGTGTTCCTCCTCTGAAAAGCTTGCTGCTTGTGCGACGGACAGTGGGCCAAAAAAATAGCCATCTAGCACCTGGGTTTGACTCATAACTTACATACTGGCAGGAATTTTCTCTCAGTGTGTCACTTTTGGTATTAAAAACGCAAACTGCTCCCTCCCACCCAGCCAGCTGCACTTGGGTGGGTGCTCCATTTGGGAGAAACCCAGCTCCTGATGAAAGAGATATTCCTGCTTCTAAACCAATGTGTGACACAGGCAGGGATACCACACTCTGTCTGAATCCAAACACAACTTTTAGAACACACAAGAGGAAAAATAATGAATGTGAGAACCTGTTACAGATCTGTTCCAACCAAGTTAGGTTTTCAAAGGAAAACCACTAAGGGGGGGTGTGGGGAGAACCACCATCCCCCTCCCCTTTCCATTTTCTAATACTGCATCCAAGTCTCCCACCGCATGGCTTTTTCAAAATTTGTCCTCAATTGTTAAAATTCAGTTCAACTCCCACATCTGAGTATTGGGAGACAGATCCAGTCCTGGTGTGAGCAACTGCAACTCAGTCAAAGAAATGCACTACCTTGGAAGAGAACGGAATTATAAACAAGCTCTAAATGAACCCAAGCATAACAGGACGTCTGTTCTGTGTCACTGCTAAATGGAGATACTGTTTTTCAACCACTTGCAGTAATCCACACTTCTAAGAAAATTCTGTGTGCAGTGAAGGAGTAAGTGGACAACCAGGTGGTAAATCTGTCCATTCCTTAGTATCAGCAATTTAGCCAGAGAGGTCCCACACTCACCAAATCATAGAGGATGCAGCTCTTGTTAGGAATGTACTTTCACTGGTAAGACACATTTTTTATTCAAAAAAATCCATGTTATTACATTAACAGATGCATATTCAGACATGCATTTCATTTTGTAAAGTTAAACATGGTTATGTTCATGCTGGGTAATCTCTCTGCATGCTTTTCTAACTGGAAAATGTGGAGGGCACAGCTTATGAATACTACACAGTAACATCTATTTTACCCTTCAACAGACAAAGAGACTCAGCTGATAAACAAGGGATTGCTCCATGTTCATTTGAACAATATTAATTTTCATAGGCTGTCTTTAATTATTTCCTATTATGTTAAGTCTCCCAGGCACTCACATGCCTATTTAAGCAAGAAAAATACAGTTCTCAACAAGATTTTTTAATGTTTTTTCTGAACCCAAAGGTTACACCGGGGTAGGAAGCTGGGTTGTGTCAATGGTAACTTTAATTAGTACTGCCAGTTTTGCAAAAGCACTACATTAGATCAACACTGCCATAGCCAAAACACACCCAAGAAATGGTCTATATTGCAAGGAACTGCAGAGGTATGTATGGACATTACAAGACTACAATCTCCACACTACCTGCAATTTTTCTCTCCAGGAAGCCTCTGCCTGTCAAGTCGTCTCCCCCCTACACTGTTCCCTGCCTTTCCCTTCCCCCATGTCCTATCCATCCAGCAGCTCTCCCCACTGAGAGGCTGTAAATAAAACTTTCCAGCCTCTAAAGCTCTGCTCAAAGTGGCGCATAACAAAGTGCCCCCGACTGAAAACCACAACCATTTGAAGTCCAAGGCAGTAGCACCGCACTGGCAGGAAGCAAAGGAAAGTCGTCCTCCACCCGTGCAGCCAGCATGCAGCTTCCCACCCCAAATGGTTCACGCTGCGCTGCTGCACACAATCCCAGAAATGTCAAAGCCAGATGAATTTGTGCTGCTGCCAGTAACGACGTGGTATTTGGTAATTATCTCTAGAAGAATTCTTGCTTTATGTGCTATTCTCTAACTCACTGGCATTGCCTTGATCCTTTTTTTATGTCTCTACTTCGGATTTAATCTCATGGACTTCAGCAGTTTGGTACCTTTCTGATTTACTGCCAAGATAAATATTAAGTACATCATTACACACTGCTATTTCTAAATAGCAATTGCTTTTCTGATCTCAAGACTACAATACAGGTTGGCTAGAACACTCATTGCAAACTTCTACTAGCTAGCTAGCTAGTAGAAATTTGACCCCCAGGCTACCAAAGTCATAGTGAGTCCCTGACTTTGTGAACTTCAGCTAATATTTAGGGCAGTTGTTCATTGAACAGTCAGGTCCTTATTTTTCCTGTAAGTTGGCCCCCCGGCCCCTGTTCAGCACAGCCAGCACTGACTGCTTGCACAGCATCTCATCGCATCAGTCACACACATTCCCCTTCATTGGCTTTGGCCACAGACTGGTCTGAGGCTTTTTTTTTTTTTAAACAGTTTGAGGGCTTTCAAATCTTACTCCACATCTTGGCAGAGTGACAAAGAGGGAGAGAAGGGGGTTCCCCAAAAGCAACAGCCTCTCTCCAGCTGCTGACTGAACAGAAGAGCTGAATCACACCAGAGCCCTCAGCCTGGGCCAAAAGAGATAACGTGCTGCAGGCAGATGTGTACTGCTGGAAGAAATAAAACCCTAAAAAGATCCAGAAATGCGATGGCCAGGTATTGCTCCTTGTTCCAGTCAGTCTCCATGCTTTGGTTATTTATTTATACACAAATGCTGTCTCTTTCAACAGAGATGATTTTCCCACTGGGGGTGGTGCATATGCATGTAGGATGTGATGTTGAACAGAGGGGTGGGCACAGCTGAAGCCAGGCACGGGGGAAAACGATAGCTTCACACCTGCCTCCTAAACCCCACCCCAGCTCTCTGCTGGACTCCACAGTAATCCCTATGCTACACTGCCTTCTTCCCCAGCTCCTCAAGATGCAAATCCCAAGTAAACAAGAAGAAGAGACACACCAAGAGACGAGCATCCAAATGCAGAGAATATTAAAATAAAAACCAAACATCGGACCCATCAGATGGTCTCTTACTGCTTCAACAGCAGCAGAGAAGAGAGCTCTCCCTGTGGTGTATGTTTTGAATAACAACACTCAGCTTGCTGGGGGTGGAAGAAGCTGCTCATTTGTTGTGCATCGATGGCTAAATTGTTCTTCTTACTCCTTGTTTTCACGGGTCACTGTTTGAACATGGTATCTATCTGCCAGTGACAAAGGACAGAGCTCAGGGACCAGGTTCTTTTCATCAGGAGCTGATTTATGACCCCCAGCTCCACAGAAGATGTAGGAGGTGCTTTCCCCACACATAATGGGCCCTCACTCCACTGACATTGTGTGGGGAAGTCTAAAGCCACTGAAAACCATGCTGAATAGTGCAGATATTATTCTATAATAAGCTTATTTCCCATTTTTGTCCAAAGAGTCCCTTTGCTTTTACAGTAATCCAAGTGTACAATTACAAACAAAGAGGAGGAGACTGACTGGTAGTTTGGTGTCTGACAGGGTTTTGGTAGCAGTGGAGGGGGCTACAGAGGTGGCTCCTGTAAGAGGCTTCAAGAAGCTCCCCCGGCTCCAGTTTCAGACCCGCCTCTGGGCAAAACCAGGCCAATGGCGCCTCTGCGAATAACTCTATTTAAGAGTGAAAGAACCTGTTGAGGGAGTTCCTTGTTCGTGGTTCTTTGCTGGTGAGGAGAGGAGGGAGATGAGAGACAGA